CTCACAAAACAGGAATCTAAAATTCAAAGTAATGAGGAGTTTTTTGTTATTGTTCTTTCCTCTGCCAATTCCCAGCTACCTAGCCCCTGCAGTGGGAGTAGCTATTTGCAGTCAAGGCTGTAGCAGTTACTGGAATTATCACAATGCCTTTCTGCAGAAGAAAACCAAGTTAAAAAGAGGACAGCTTCATAATCTCTATTTATAACTAAATTTCAAAGAAAAGGAACAGGGGAATCTGTTATAAATATAAGACCAATGTTTGTCACATACATCAAACATTTTATACAACAGCCTATGCAAAGCTTCAAATTTTCCTGTTGTTCTTCTAGTTTGTCTGTGGCTACCAAATACTGCTTGAAGGCTCATGAGAGCACAAAACATACAGAAGCTCAAAACTTCACATAAAAGCCTATCCAGTTGTAGTACTTACACAAACAGACCCCAGGTCACCTTCTCTTTGCGTGGATGACCTTGGGAGGGGCTGCAACAACCAAAATGGTGATGTAACTGCCCAGGCAACTAACCTGAGGGAAGGGTGCGCACTCTTCTCTTGCAGCTCGCTGAAAGCTGGAAGGCTCTCATCTGCTGCATACTCTACTGATCCAGTTTAATACACATTTATTTAGTATTTTAAATAAAACCAGCAGAGAAACCTGAACCAGCATCTTTTAATTCTCTAATTGGAGTGTGCATTCATTAGTTCACAACCACCCTAAAGGATGTTTATGGGAAGTTAATTAAATTGCTCTCAACAGGACATTGCAGCTGTTAATCACAAACACAGACAACACTGCAAGGCAGCTTCTAGGTTTCTATGAGCATTTTCATGTCCAGTGTGACTCACCTAATAAACCTGTGGAGCAGAAATATTGTTCTTTTGCTTTCGATAGTTATATCACGACTGAGCTTCACAAGCCGTTCATATTTGTCATGCCTGGTGTCAAGCTCTAGCTGGAAAGCTGCAGAGTCAATCGGGACAAGCACAGTTATCACATGTACACAGAGCAGTGGAACAGCAAAGTGCCTGTGCTGCAGCAACTGCTTTGGGCCTCAGCCCCACCAGCCTTCTCCCCAGAGGCCTTTCCCCAAGGTGGGCAGAGCAGCAGCCCCTGCATGGGGCACAGCTTAAGAGGCCACCATCTGCCAGAACTGCAAAATTCATCAATACTACTTTCGTTTAATAAATCAGGTTTAAATAGACATCAGTCTTGATGATGCTTTAAGGCAGCCTAAACAATTTTAAGGTAAAATACATGGTTTAGCTAGTAAAATCTATTCTGATTTGAAATTTCACCCAAATCCAGCAAGATAAATGAAAAATAAAACTCTACAATCATTTGTAAGTAATATTCACCAGTCTCTAAAACAAAACAAAACAAACAAAAGGCATCTGACTGAGGCACATATACTGTTAAAAATGCACCACTTAGTTCTAAGCAAGGTTGCATTTCACATCCCAGTTAGGCTTGGCCAGAAGACAAGTATTTTAATATCCCTAAGGATGAGAAGTACTAAAGCAAAGTGAGATTAATTATTTAAAGTAAGATTTCTGACTCACTGATGTAAATTCTCTCTAGCTACAGTGAATACTGAGAAGAGAGGATGTGTATCTGATTATCACAGACAAACATGATGAATGTTTCACAGATAGCATTAACATTTCATGGACCATTATTCCACTAAATAAATCATTAATAGACATTTAGAAGAAATCTAACACTTTCCTACATAACTGTCTGTGATGTTAAAGTCTTTGTGCAAGAAGATGCAGACAATAAACTAAGAGCTTGCACCAAGAATCTAACAAGTGAATATCCTTTAGAAAAGCACAGCACTTTGCTGGCAAGAAAAGTTTAGATGAAGCTACAAAACTAACTGTATTTCTCATCACCTTCTTAAAAAACTGGTTCCTCTTATTCTGTTCTGAAAACTTTAAGATAAGTCACAAATGCTTCTACTGATCTTTTAATTTTACATGTCTGTTTGGTGTGTCTCTTCCAAATGCTGATAGTCAATTTCACCCCTGAATGATCACCCGGAAGAAATTTTTCCTCAGATTGTAGTGACAGGAACTCAAGGAAGGGAAACTGAGAATTCGCTTTACAGGATACCATATATGACATTTTCAATGACCATTCACAAATTTCAGGAAATTTGTATATACACACACCAGGAAATGCACTATTCTGAAGATCTACAATATTAGCAATGCCCTCAATCTTTTCTGGACCATTGTGGCTTTTATACTTTTATGTTAGATTTTAAACCTGTTAGAGACTATTAGAAGTGCTTTCTGACCTGAAGTAAAACACAGACAAATATGGTAATTTTTAGCCTAACAGGATGCAAGAAAACCTACTGTACTGTAGCCTAAAACTGCAAAGCATTAGAACTCAGTGGACTCTCCAGACTAACACATCAAGACCACACAAGCATTTCCTCCACACATTCCACTGTAATGTCTAATCTATCACTGAAAGCAAAGACTCAGACCCTATGGATAACTTCAGTGGTGTAGAATCAGATGATTAACATGACACTTAATAAATCTTAACCTTAAAAACCAAGGTCCTATCCTCTCTGTATCACTGAGCTATCACATTTAAAACATACTACCAAAAAAAGGTGTAACTTAATACTCCTTGGTTTTTGATTAATTAAACCAGCCTGTGATTCTATGACTATCACAGAAGACAATTTCTCATTACCTTTTTAGAAATCTTTGGTGCCAACAGATCACTACATCAATTCAAGAACCACTTTTTTACAAAGATTAAAAAGAGCAGAACATGTATAACCATTTAAGGACACACATTGTTTAGATTCAGACAACATGCATAGAGTAGTACACCACCTTGGTTCACCTGCTGCAGCTTGCTCAATTATAAACTATCTGCAGCATACCTTCTCCTAATGTTCGTGTCTGACATGGAGACAGAGATCACCAGTGTCTCCACCTGGGGCTTATAAGCACTAGCTACAATACAATAGTATACACTCTTTGTACAATACAAAGAGTGGATCTTTGAAAAGCTGAATAAACCATGTCTCTTAAATCCTTTCTGAAACTAACCAAACACTGCTGACTGGATCGTGCAGGAAAGGAGGGAAACAAGTGTTGTTTTGAATTGGAATTAATAGCAAATTTATGGCAAACTGATATGCTTAAGGGTGAAAAATTAAAAGTTGAAAATACAGTTGCACTACTCACTTCAAATGTGAGCCTATGTACGATATTCAGCATGAATGACAGAACAGTTTGGTTGGAGGGAACCTTAAAGATCATCCAGTTCCAACATCCTCTGCCATGGGCAGGGACAGCTTCCACTAGACCACGTTACTCAAAGCCCCATCCAACCCTGGCCTTGAACACTTCCAGGGATGGAGCATCCACAGCTTCTCTGGGCAAAGTTCAGGGGTCACAGTTAATCATCTGCTAAGCTGATTTACACAGAAAAATATAATATCTGTTTAAAAAAAAAAGCAAGCAAACTATATGACACTGAAGTGACTATAACAGCCATCCAGCTCATACTTTTTCACCCTCCTTAGCTTCATAAAAAATAGGTGGAATGGGAAGAATTTTACACCAAGAATTAATCTGTTCCCTGTTCCCTTCCTTCTTTTGTTAAGGCTTCTCATTTCTGAAGCTCAACTTTGCCTTGTTAGGGCTTGTCTAATGAGAAATTTAAATTTACTGGAGCTTAATTCTGGTTTTGAGAAAAATCCTATAAAAACAATCTGCCTGGAGGGAAGTTTGCACTTGCTTGTTTAAAGAAACTCAACTATAAGTTAATTTTTAAAAGGCACTCAAACTGAAGTTAGGTGTCTACATACAGGTCTGTATTAGTTAGTTAAATCCTTATCTTTCAAAAGTGCAACTACCAACTCGTAAAACAATGCAACCAGATTTTCACTGAAGTAGCTTAGCCACCTCTGCACCAGGACAGCAGACTCCTCAGGCTCCCCAGAGGGAGCCATCTCCTCCTCTTGTCCCCGTGGCTCACATTTTGCATTTACACATCTGCAGGTCCCACAGTTTTCTGCCACCAAAGGGCCTGAGCACCTTTGGCCTGGCTGAACACTTGCACAATTTGCTCAGCACCAGGTTCAGCATATGCAGGATGGCGAGGGGGAACAACAGGTGGGATGAGAAAGGAACAAGCTATGCAAAATCCTGCTCTCAGGGCTTCATTGCACAAAAACCTGAACACCAAGCTCTAAAGTTATGCAGCATGAGTCCAACTGCTGTCTCCCCCAGAGAAAACTGGTTTATTCCATTACTAAATATTAGTCATTTCCCAGCAATTCCTAGACCACGTTATGATCTGGTTTTCCAAATGCTTACTTACATTTAAAAGAGGTCATCAAAGCTGAAGATGGATTAACATTCTCTTTTTCCTCTCTTCTTTGACCATGTGGAAAATTGTCATGCTTTCGTTTTCTGAACCCACCCGATCCTATCAAAAGGAGACAGGCACAAAAAAAACATAGTTAAAAACAAAGCAGTTTTGCCAGAGCATAACCAGCACCAGAATGCTGCCTTCAGATCATTCCTGCCTGTAGCCACATTTTACAGGATAGAATAAGGTCACTGACACCATCTTCACATCAGCACGTCGCTTTTTTCTACCACGTTCCTACTGAAAATTAGGAAAAAAAAATCCTAAATCCTATCAATTTCGACAGATGAGTGTGGCAGGATCCTAGTTCCCTTTTTTTTTGTTGTTCTTTTTTAGGTAAGGTCTTCCTACCCTTTTATATTTCCTTTCCATAAAGGAACGGCTGGATGGAAATCCTCATGTGAACAAGAGCCTACAGCATTAGAATTAGACCTTTTCTTTCCTTCCTTTTTTCTTTTAATGATTTTAAATATTCAGCTTGAAAGGAGTCAATAAAACTGCAAGTATTTTATTACTGTAATGATCTGTCATGGGTCTTCAGTAACCAGAAAAAGCAGCATGGCATAATTTAAGCAGACAACCACCACTATCCAGGCGTGCAGGTTTAGCTCCTGCAGTGTAGCATCTTAGGTCCTTACGCTCTGCCCATTCACCAGTTTCTTCTCTATTCACTCTGATGTAGCTGTTCCCTTCAGCTGTATTTGTGTGACTCTTCCTTAGCCTCCCTTTTCAAACCCACGCCCAGAACTCATCTCCTTTGGACTATGTTTTACTCCTGATTTACAACTTGTACTGTTCCTTCCTTTTGTCCTTCCTTCACCCTGGACTGACTCATAGTGTCATTCATGCATCAGCCACTCCTCCCTCTCGCTCCCTCCTTCTGCTGACAGCTGAACACTTTGTGTTCCTAGCAGAGACCAAAATTTGGCAAACCCTTCTGAATATGTGGACTTCTCTCAGTTTCCTTAAGAGAGGAACAAAAGGAAGCTACTTAAAAGTTACAGACGAACATTGGATTTTAAAATGTTTCCGCTTAATTGTTTATTATCCCAAACCAAACCCAGGAGTGGGCGTAGCTACTTGCTAAAAGAGGAAACTGAAAATCATTTTTTCCTTCTTTTCTGGACAGGAGTTCAGGGGTTTGTTTTTCCTGTAGCAGTTGAAAACATTACAAATGCATCCCCTGAAACAGGGCAGAGAATTAAACTCTCTGCAGGATTCCAAAAGTTGGGAATGTCATGATGACCTACAGGAAATAAAACAGGCCCTCCTGAAGTCAGGGTGGGCGGGGAGGAAGAGAAATAGAGAGAAGGGGTTCCACTGAATAACCAAAAGCTTGGATATCAAAAAAACATGGACTGCAGTTAACTGCAGAATCATAGAATCATCAAGTTTGAAAGAGACCTCTAAGATCATCAAGTCCAACCATTAACCTGTCACTCTGCTGCAACCCTTGAACCATATCCTATAGCGCCAGCTCCAGACGCCTCTTAAATATTTCCAGGGATGGTGACGTCACCACATTCCTGGGCAACCTGTTCCAGTGCCTGACCACCTTAACAGTGAAAAAATATTCCTAATATATAATCTAAATGTCCCGTCTCATCTTATGACAATTCCCTCCAATCCTCTCAGTGCAGGCATGGCAGAAGAGACCATCCCCCACCCCTTTACAACCCCGTCAGGTAGTTGTAGGGAACCATGAGGTCACTCCTGCACCTCTTCTCAAGGCCAAACAAACCCAATTCCTTCAGCTCTTCCTCATACAACATGTGTTTGAGACAGTGGCTTAGCCTTGATGGAAAGGGGAAAGGGAAGGAAAAAGGAAAAAGGAAAAAGGAAGCTTCCTTGATGCCGATCCCACTTTATGGACGAAAAGAAGTCTATGTCAGGGCTAAACCCACATTCAGGCTGCTAAGTTGGCTGTGAAATATATATAT